TTCAAGTATATGTCTCCTAAAACACAAGCGTGCTTTTAAATAGTTAATCCAACTTGTGTAGTCTGTAGAAGTTTGTAGTTATTTTACCTACTTGTGTATTTATTGTAGGTCAGTCCTGTGAGGGAAGAGATGAAACTGAACAATTGTCAGACGTTTATCGTAAAATAATCAGTCCAAGAAGATGGAGCAGAAGCACTCTGGGCTTGATCCTTCAGGGAGATGTAGATATTTCACTTTATTAGTAATGTACAGGTAGCTGGACAGTAAAAGCATCCCAATGGAAAAACACAGGTGGCTCAGAGGAAAACTTCTTACCCACCTCATCTGAGTGGTTTAAATCCCATTTCTAGTAAGAGTCAAGTGTTTTGCACTCCGTCCATCCATCCATCCTTTTTCATCCACTTTTCCGGGGTCGGGTCGTGGGGGCAGTAGCCTAAGCAGAGAGGCTCAGACTTTCCTCCCCCCAACTACTTTGGCCAGCTCCTCGGTGGGGATCTTATGGTGTTCCCTGGCCAGCCGAGAGACATAGTCCCTCCAGCGTGTCCTGGGTCTTCCTTTAGGTCTCCTCCCGGTTGGATGTGCCTGGAAAACACCTCACGAAAACCGCAAGACCAGAGGCATCCTAACCAGATGCCTGAGCCACCTCAACTGGCTTGAGGTTCATCTTCTGTACATTCATTCTGTGTCTCTTTTTAACTTGTATTCCTTTTTAAACAAAGCAAAAGAAAAGTTTTCCTTTACCTTATTAGCTAATGTTTTGGCTACTTCCTGTATCCATACTCATAGCTGTGACGACGCTGGCTGTGTCACTTCCTTTTCTGTTTATCTGCCGCCAGCATCGTCACGGCCCTGAGGGTGGCTACAGGAAGTAGCTGAAACATTAGCTATGAAGGTATAGGAAAACTTTTCTTTTGCTGGCTTGAGGTGTTTTGCAGTCACTAATGATAATTACATAATCATCTGTGAAGAAACCACACCCCAAAATGGTGGGATTTAGAACACAACAGTGGCCCAGACTTGTAGGAATTCATTTTTATGTTAATTTGGCTTTGGTTTCCAATTTTGGTTGACTTTTAGTGAAACGTACTAATAATGGTTTTGATTCTTGTACGGCTCTGACCTGCTGATTTCAGTTTCAGTTAAACAGAATTTCATCTCAGCCAATAATCAATTAACTGATCATGCTGAACATTTTATTAGGCAAGTCTATATTATTCATTTGTGGTTGGGTGTATTTGAAATTAAATATTAATTAAGGGTGAGAATGAGTGAAAATTAAAAGATTTCATGCAAAATAGTGAGAAAATCTTTTTTTTGTCCCCAATAATTAATGTATAATTAAACTTTTCTTAATGTTTCATAAAGTATTTTAGCAGATTAATAAATAACATATCTATAAACACTTTGTTGGTCATATTGAAAAGTGTTACAGAGTTTTTAAACTAAGATCATCTTCCACTGAGAAATGAAGTTATAGCCATTTTAGTCAAATCTTGACAATAAAATAATGCAAATGCAATATTAAAGTTGTGGTTGACTGAAAAAACATTTTAAAATAATTTCAGATTATAATCAATCTCTCTGAGTTTTTTATGCAGGCTAAACATTAAAATAGTCTCCTACACCTATCTCCTGCGTTAGCTTCCGATATGAAAAGCCCGACATCACACTGTCACTTAACGTTCACGGACTCACCCATCTTAACTCATGACATGGAAGGCTGTTGGTTGTTGGTTTAGTGTCCAGGAAACAGCTGAGAACGTCCCCACTAGTTGAAGCTAACCATTAGCATAAGCAGCTACACCACATGGCAGAACTCCTCCAGGCTTGTGTTATTTGTGGAGATAAAACATCAAAGTTGCAAGTCAGTGGTAGAGTTTCGCTGCTGTCATCCAATGTTATCCAAGGCATGTCCACATATCAGGAAATAAGACTCCTAAACCTGCCGTCTGAAGCTCAGCTATGATGTGGGTTACTATTAGTTAATAGACAATGAAACTCTAGGATCTGAAAAGGCTGATAGTTCTATGTCTCACTGCAATTTAAAGGGACATTATGGAAGTTTTACAGCCAAAACGTATAGAAATAATAAATTTCTTCTTCATACATTCTCCTGCAATGCCCTGGTCCTGTAGAATGAGCCCTGGCATTTTTACTGTGATTGCCTGTTTTTCTGTAAAATCACAGAAAAAGAGAGCTGCTCGGGTCGAGCAGGCTGCTTCATGCGCGTTCACGCTCAGGCAGAGCCCGTAGCATTTGCTATCCGTAGCTTTAGCAGCAGAGAGTGAGGTAGTGCCAACTCAGCGACTCTGTCGCTGTTCCTAACGCCTAGTGATGAACCTAGCTACATTTCTGAGGACACTTAGTTTCTTTCTGTAGAACTTTCTTCTAGATATGTCCTGCAAATTAGCAACAAAATAGCCATTTTCGCTCCGAACCGTTCTTTGGTTTGACGTTGTTTCAGGTGTCATCAAGGATATAAAGTTACTGATGCTGCTATGAATGTTACTAGAGTGTAGCTCACCTTGTAAGATGTCTGACTCCCATGCAGAAGACCTGGGTTGATTCTGGGTGTGAACATAGTTCATTTAGAGTTTCTTTTTTACATTAATGGTATATTTTTTTTACAATAAGATACCCAAATTTTTATTTGAGAGTCACCAAACGGCATTGAATTCACAGATAAAAAAGATGTGGGTTCAACTTTCATTTTGGAACAATTTTTCAAACAAGGGAAGGGCATGATCTGAGCATGCAGGAGGACTGACCCATCATAAACCTTTGTCGGCTGTGCTGAAGAGAAAGGTACAGAACCAAATTATTTAATTAATTAGCTGCGCGTTCTCCTGTCCTCTGTCCTCCGGGCCACACACACACACGGGACTGTCTCAGCAGTTATTTTCGTTAAGGAGTGTGCACGTACAGCATGCGTGCCTCGTGCACGAGCCTACTATTGAAGCTGCCATTACGCTTTTGGCCTGAGGGGGCAATCGCAAGCATAAAAATTCAAAAGTCTTAAAAGTCCCTTTAACAATCATGGAATGTCTCAGTTAGTAGAAGCTAACAGTTAGCATTAGCAACTTAACCACACAGCAGAACTCCTTCAGGCTTGTGTTATTTGTGGAGATAAAACATTAACTTAGCAAAGCACATAGAGTCAGTGGTAGAGTCATGTTGCTGTTAGCCAATTAGAGGAGATGTTCAAATATCAGGAAATAAGACTCTTAACTCATTCAGACTAAAGTCGTCATTTGGATTTTTTTTTTACTGTGGGCATCGGAACGAGTCCCCGCACCATAAGAAAAAACATCCCAGCTCTAAAGCCGATCTACATCCGCATACGTCACATGATCAGGAAGCAAAAAAATCCATGTGTTAGGAGATTGTTTTGGGCCGCTGCGGTAAAAAAAGTGAGGCGCGAACCGGAAAAGCTGCCGATCACAATTCAACAATGGATTATGAAAGAACGGATAAAGCTCGAAACTCACAGATTCTTCCTGATGTAAGAGGTGAGTCTCCGCTTTGTTTTGGTTGTTTTGGCGTCAACATCATTCTAGCGCGCAACGTTCTGTGACTCTTAAAAAAACTGTAAAAACGGTGAGAAACGCTGGCAGCGAAGGGCTTTACCGATCAGGAAACGGACGGCAGCGAATGAGTTAATTCTGCAAACTCTGAAGTTCAGCTCTGATGATGATGACAATCTTATACTTCCTGAAACAAGTGCACCGGAGCTTTGTTTCCTTCAAATATGACTTATAAGGCATTCGTTCTTTTCTAGAGACCACTGCAAATGTATTGAATAAACAAGTGAACCACAACTTTAAAAGATCTCATGTAATACTCAAAGACTCAAAGCATTTGCTAGAAATTATTTTCAGCTACTTACATCCCAAATTATAGTTCAGTGTCTGAAAATTCCTCATAGCTGTCTTAGCTAATGTAGAATGGGGCTGACTCCTAAACATCATCAGTTTACATCTACTGATTAAAATATGGAGCGTTTAACTAAAATCTATTCAGTGAGTCACAAGCACACAAGTACACACACACACACACACACACACACACACACACACACACACACACACACACACACACACACACACACACACACACACACACACACACACACACACACACACACTATTGTTTGTCACAGATAATAAATGATCTCATTTGTGTCTTGATCTGTAGTTTGAGCTGTAGTTTCTGAAAGACAGGTCCAATGATTCCAAATAAGCGCCCCATGTCTATAGCTATTTAATCTTTGTGTCTCTTAGTGACCCTTTTTAAGGTCAAACCTCTCACCCCGTCGTGACCTAGGTGTCCTGTTTCCTTTGCATCAGCGATCTGGGGGCACAGACCAGTCACCTCTGTCTCTGATATACCTGAGGCACAACCAGACCCTCCACCAGTCACCTCAATTCCTCTGTGATACACTCATCACATGCCTCCATCTTCCACAAATGAGCTCTGATTGAGGTGATTGGAATTTCCAGTGGCTGTCACAATCATTTTGATTGGAAAATAGACATAAAATAATGGGAGAGACAGGCCTGTTATGAGAGCCCTGTCAAGGCTAAAATAATGCGTCAGAGTGAAGAGGTTAAAGACACCGCTTCCTTGTTAATAATTAATTGCAGTGCGGGGTGGTGGATCCACTTCATCACTCCTAGTCATCACTCGATAATTGCTTTACATTTAATTTGGCTTTAGAGACTGTTTTTCAAGCGGACTAAATTGTGCTTAAAGTGAATATGGGCTCAGACAGAGACAGACGTTTGGTCTTAAACCAGTAATGAAGGAATTAGGAAAGAAGTCATGTTAGTGCTTCTGTAATCTATTCATATTTTAGTTCTGCTTTTTGTTTTACAAAGATAAACTCGAACCTCGATTTGGCAAGACTATGATTTACCAATAATCTGTGAATGGCATGACTGTTTTCTCACAACCTGGCAGATTTTAGATAAGTAATTACTTTTTTCTCCTTTCATATGTAGATGACACAAGCAGATGTTAGCTAACCAGATATGACCACACCATTTGGATGGTCCAGCACTGGTACAGCAGAGAGGGATGTGCCTGTTATACGCCTGAAAAATGACTCAGACCTCACGGTATGGAGACTTTCTGTTCTACATTCTCTGCTGCCCTGGTACTGTAGTGGAAGCATCACTGAAAAAGTGACACTTTGTTGATCCCCCAAAGTGCACACTTGGTGCTCCAGAAGAGGCTCAAACTGCACCTTTCTACTGCATTGCCCCCTTACTTTGGGGAATTTGACTGCTTTCTTTGCAAAATCCAAAGTGGCCGGTGCTCAGTCTTGCATGAACACAGATAATAATCAAGTTAATTAGACCAGAAATTGAATGAACTACAGCAGCAACTTAATCATTTGTGAGTTGATTGAAAATACTATATTCCGCAGCTCTAGAGACCAGAAATCTTATTTTTTTTCCCAGAGAATTTTAGTACTCTTAAATTCAGGGTTTCATACTGTGTAAAAAAAAAGATTTCTTAGGTTTTAGATCAGCGACAGACAGCTGTTACAAATGCATTCATGTTTTAATTGTACTTTCCACACAGGAAAAGTATGAATTTGGTAGTAAATTGGGCCAGGGTAGTTTCGGAGAAGTTTACGAAGCCACCCACCTTGAGACACGGACAAAATGGGCAATTAAGATGGTTCACAGACCAGCAGTGAGTATGTTCTAAATCCCACTAGGAGACCAGTTGTTTCAAAGTGATTTAAAAAGTTGCCCCTATAATAGAAATCTGTGTAAGAGGATAAACAAACAATCCTCTGATGTCACTTTCAGCCAGGAAGTAAGATGGTTGAGACGGTGGATAACGAAATAAGCATTCTTAAACAAGTAAATCATGCTCACATAATACATCTTGAGGCAATCTACAACTCAGCAGCGGTAAGTTTAGTCGTCCTGTATCACAAAGTCAAAATTCACGAGTGTTTTGGAGTGTTTAGCGTATTCTCCTACAACTGTATCTCTGGTGAAAAATCACAGATGAGCTCACAAATTGACTGTATTTCTCCTGGTGTTTCCAGATGATTTATTTGGTCACTGAGCTGTGCAAAGGAGGTGACCTGAAGCAGCTGCTGCAGCAGAAGAAGAGCTTTACAGAGGATGAGACTAGAAAAATCATCTTTTCTTTGGCTGACGCCGTTGTTTACCTCCATCAAAGAAGTAAGTGGTTTTACAAATGTACTGTGATGGTGTTCCAGGTTATTCTATACACCAAGACTATTAGTGTCCATTAGTAAACGAGTTACTTTTTCACACAAGCCCCTGTGTCTTGTCAAATGTAGCACGCTAAATCTTTTTATTTAGTTTTATTCATTTATGTTCCGTTCATTGTCGATTCTCTAGGAATAACAAAACTGTGAGAGTGTAGGGCAACACAAACATACACATATTCACCAAGCCAAGGATGCCTATATACCTTGACTTTTTTCTGATTTTAGATTTAATACTAGTACTTAACCCTTTAGAACCCAAACCATTTTGAATTAGAAAACAGATAGAAATAAATAAAAATTAAGTACAATTAAGAAGCAAAATAAATTTTGATAAATGTATGGATAGAATGTCACTTTGGGTATTCAGACTTGACTATTTGTCGACAGTTGACATACAGACAGTTGCTATAAATTGGTGAAACAGGATATTTGTCCTTTACTTGTCACAAGGAGATTAAAACCGATCCTTTGGCTTCAGCCCCCCCCCCCCCCCCCCCCCCCACACACACACACACACACACACTCCCCCACCCCCCAGGGGCGAAGGTGACATTAAAAGGCTTTTCTTTGGGGGAAATCATTAGTTCTATAATCATTGGCTGTTGTTTTACTTTTATAATCTACTGTAATTATTCTCAAAATGTCAATAGAAACCCTAATTACAATCTTTAAATCTGTGCATGATTTAGTCTCATAAATCCAGTATTTGAAGTATTTGAAAACCATAATGTCCGAATAAAAACTTGCCCTCTTCACAGATATCGTGCACCGGGACCTGAAACTTGAAAACATTCTCCTGAAGAACTCTTCTAATGAGGGTGATGACAGATTTGATATCAAGGTATTGTGATCATTTCTGTCAGTCCAGCATGTAAAACTTTAAAATAAGTTTAAATGTGGTGCAAAGCATTAGGTCAGTAATTCTACTTAGAATGAGAGACTTTGGGTCTAGATTATTGAAACTTTTCACAATATTCTATTTGTCTGAGATGATGAGTTTGGGATTTTAATAAGCAGTAATCATAACAATTATAACAAATAAAAGCTTAACTTGTTTGCCTTTGCAAGTAATGAGTCTGTCTCATAGATAAGCTTCACCTTTGAGATAGAATTACTGAAATAAATGAACTTTTGCGCCCTATTACTTCTTTCAGTTTCACCTGTACAAGCATCAGTTCAACACCTTTTGTAGCACACTGTTGCACTCGTCGTACATTAGCGAAAGCTTTACTGCTTATTTAAAAAAACCTACCATCATATCGTCTTCTCTGTCAACTCAGAACTGTAGCTAATACCTGCTGTTAGAACATTTTAAACTAATCCACAGTAAACATTGTAATATCTCAGTTGATTTCATGTGTTTTATCCACAAACACATATTTGGTGTGTGTGTGTGTTTGAAAGTTCGCTGGAATAACCTTCATTTGCTAGCTGTTAGCCCATTTTCTTTAGCTTTCTGCTGCAGCCTTCTAATGCATTCTGTTTGTTAGCACTTTATTTTGAAAGTTCTGCAAGCTGCAGGCCTGGAACCAGAACAGGTGATCTGTCTTCATATGTATTTGTAACACCGTTGTCTTAAGTGCTGTTCTACCCTTAGGTAGCAGACTTTGGATTGTCGGTGAAGACAGGTGGTGTAGCGATTGGGAACATAATGACGGAGGCCTGCGGGACTCTCATCTATATGGGTATGTCATCTGTATCTCTCATATTATGCTCAAACGACCACAGGCTCAGAAGAATCCGTGTGCACCAGATGTTTCAGATTCTCACCTGTCATTCCAGAGTATCAGTTTATTGTTTTTCTGCAATGTGGCTCGTGTGCATTTGATTTTATTTTACGTGGATTTCATTTCCAAGGAGAAGTAATCGTGTTGTGAGACTTTTACTTGCCTTTAATTGATGCATAAACAGCTCATCACTACCACCAGCTTTGAATTCAGATTTCACAGCATTTATCATTTTGCTCAGCTGTGAATGTATTTTTGTGAGTGTGCTGATTGAACACGATGCCCACAACAATACTTGTTTATAAAAAGGGACTCAGATGAAAATGTGTTCAAAGCTAACTTAATTTAGCACTTTTACGTTCCTTTGTTTTCTGTATCTGATCATCAACCATGCATCAACCTTTTGTGTGCCTCGTGTGTACATTTTAGCTCCTGAAATGATGAGTGGTCGTGGATATAGTCAGTGGTGTGATGTTTGGAGCATAGGAGTCATTATGTTCATGTTGTAAGTAGACGTTGGTTTCTCCATGCATGTTAGTTACGGACACACGACTCAGCTACATGTCTGTCTGTAGGCTCTGTGGAGAACCTCCGTTTGTTTCCCAAACCCAAAGAGGTCTTCTTAAAGAGATCATGAACAAAGTTAGATTTACTCAGCCTGCCTGGGCATCAGTCAGTGGTGCAGGTAACATGAGTTTTGTTCCTACTCTTTAAAACAAAGCTAAATCATAACTCTTAGCTTTGGATTGTGACTGTTGCCTTGAGTTTGTCTCAACAGCCAAATGGGTGTTGACTTACCTCCTGAAGGTGGACCCTGCCTATCGCATGACTGCTCGTCAGCTGCTGGAGACTCCCTGGATTGCAGTAAGGCACCAAATCCTCCATCTTGCTAAATTTGAAGCGAGTTGCACAAAAATCTCTTACAGGAGGTTCTGTCCAACAGGGTGAGCATACAGTACCTTCTGGACCCAACAATGTGCTGGAGATGATTGATCAATTACTGGAGAACAACACGAATGAAAACAGAAGTTATCCAGGTCATAATCCAAGAACTACTGTGGCGTTACGTTTCAGGAGCTTTTCATATTTTTGTTGTCTGCCAATCCGAAACATCCTTATCCTTGAGGATTGACTGGAGAGGAATGATTGAAGATGCTAAAGTTATCAAGGTCAAATTAATAAACCACAGCAGCAAGAAAAAAAATGGTTGAGGAGTTTTAATTACTGTAAATATTCAAACTATATTAATTAATGTTTTTTCCTCAAAAATATTTAAAGCACTCAGTCAAATGACTTATGTCTAAGGGTTATGCTAAATCTTTGAGGTCAACATTACTCATATTTTTATACATTTGCCGTGGTCTATAGTAGCTTGATATTGGCATTTCTACCAATATCTATATCTATCTATCTATCTATCTATCTATCTATCTATCTATCTATCTATCTATCTATCTATCTATCTATCTATCTATCTATCTATCTATCTATCTATCTATCTATCTATCTATCTATCTATCTATCTATCCATCCATCCATCCATCTGATATATGGATATATATATCCATATAAATATATATATATATATATATATATATATATATATATCCATATATATATGTATATATCTCCATATAAATATAAATATATATATATATATAAATATATATATATATATATATATATATATATATATATATATATTTATATATATATGGAGATATATACATATATATATGGATATATATATATCCATATATATATATATATATATATATATATATATATATATATATATATATATATATATATATATATATATATATATATACTGTATATATATATGGATATATATATATATATCCATATATATATATATATATATATATATATATATATGTATATATATATATATATCCATATATATAATATATATATATATCCATATATATATATACTGTATATATGGATATATATATATATATATATATATATATCCATATATACAGTATATATATATATATATATATATATATATATATATATATACTGTATATATGGATATATATATATATATATATATATATATATATATATATATATACTGTATATATATATATATATATATATATATATATATATATATATATATATATATATATATATCTATATATATATATATATATATACGGATATTGTCTGTCTCTTAATGATACTGATATATGCATACAAAATACACCTCAGCTAGAGAACTCAGAGGTGCAAGGGAAACATTTCACTGGCTCAACATGTCCTAACTTAACACCGTTTCTGTGGCCACACCTGTAAGGTTTCATTTATAGGTTTCAGAACTAAAATATGGATACAAAAAGGGTAAATTCACCGTAAATGTAGGAGAAAGGTGTCGATTTGTAATTAATAATTTCATAGTTAGAATATTTACAGAATATTGAGCTGAACTGTTGCCACTATAAACAGGAACTTGTAATTTGTAGAAGGAGATGAGCGGCATACTGTAACCCGCATGATGTCATAAATCCTCCTGCAGGAACAGAACCTGTGAAGGACTGGTCCCTCGTCTCTGCTGAGGAAACACCAGAGTCATCTCTGGACCACAGCTGTTGGAGTGGAGCTGATCTCGGTCCTGAGGCAGTCACAGAGCGGTACTTTATGGCTGTTTATTAACACTTGGTCCTCATAATCAGCTGCCTTGTATTATTTAAATGTATAACTCTTGAGAATAATATAATCTGTTCATGCTGTGGATGTGTTTAAGTGAGATAAGCTCTATGTTATTCTGTATCACTGACTCTGTGGTAATTAGTGCTTTTACTATGATTATCCTTTAAGTGGATGAAGTGGCAGAACTGTATTTAGAAAGTTGTTAAATATTGTGACCTAAAGAGCTCTGATCAGTTTGTTTCTTCTCCTCCCAGCAGCTCGTGTCTGTGTTTACAATAAATAAATAAAAATCTGGAGACTTTTTAATGTCAGAAGAGTCTGATGTTTATTTCAGTCTCACTTTTTATGAGACAAGTTAAAAACAAACGATACATCTCCCCAAATTGGTTTGAATCTTGTTATTATGTAAACTAATTAAAAAAAATGAATCACTTATTTTTTCCTTTTGGTTTATGGAATAAAGGTTAAAGAAAGCCCACAACAGAAAATCTGCACACTCATCACTGACCCAACAGGACTGCCGCCCACCGCTGCGCAGGTTTGTTATTTATATTTCACATATTAGATAAATATCAGATTTTCTTTTGATTTCTAACTAAACACGCTGCCTCCTTTGCCTTTGTTCTCCTTTAGTGCTTGTTCTTCTGATCACCACTAGATGGTGCCAGATTTTCCTCTTGAAGGAGCTGTTGTCCTGCTGCTGTTTCAAATAAACGCCATAGTTAATTCAGTTATGTAAGTTTAATCTGAATCTCCTCCCGGCAGTGCCTTGTTGGAGTGAAACGCCCAACACAGCTGAGAGCAACAGGGCGTAAGAGCAAGACGGAGCCCAGCACGGGACAGAAGCCAACCCTAAACTCCAGTAAGATAGAAGACAAACCAAGTCCCACAAGGAAAGGACTGTCCTCTTTTAACCGGCGGCCCGTTAAGAACCCAACACTAAATGTGAATAAAACAAGCGAGACGACTAACGGAGCCATACTGCAAAGGAAAATGTGAGAAATTGAACTCGAGATGGACTTCCAAGTGTGCAAGGACTAATATTTACAAATATGTATGTCATTAATTCTATTTTTCAACAGAAAGGTGAATGTCACCACTGTGCAGCTTTTTCTACACGGGTCAGTCTCAGCAGTAGCTGTGGTGTCAAATAAATAAGCCACATATATAAACAGTAAAAGAAGTCCACTGAGTCTGACATGGTTCACACTGGGAAGCATTATCTGGTGCCAAATGAGAAGTCTGAGCTGCTCTCCCACACGGGGAAAACTGCTTAACTTGCTTACTGCAAGCTGCTTTTTTTTGAATGATTGTTTCCCTGTTGATTTCACTGATAATGTATGGCTTTCGTGTTTTTACATTCTTAGCTCCTTTCACTTCCAAATGTGTAAATAGATGCTTAAAAGAATGGAAACGTACCAAAAGTGAAGCAAAGTAAACGGTGATGTTTCGCATCTAATAAACGTGTTTTATCGGTGCACGTTCCACTGTACAGATGCAAATAAATAAATAAATAAACGTTTTTGGATATAATTTCACCACACCGACATGAGCAACCGAGATTTTCTCTTTTCTGCTCTGACCTCTCAATTCCAAAACATTGTATATGCAGGGGCTGCACCCGCTCGGTGTCAAAACAGAACGACTGTCACACAGGCTGGTTCCGCTCGTCTAAACGCAGAGGACTGGGACCGAGGGCAGCCGCGGGTCTAATCTCGTTTGGAGGCCATTGAAAGCAGCAGGAGCTACTTTGAGGGCACTGCCATTCAACCACAGGTTTTTTCTTTCTTTTCCCCGCTGTAGAGAGAATAATCCCCAGCATAGATACAACATTAAAGTACCCGAGCATAACACAGAGGGTGCATTTCAAATCCACCCATTTGCATCTTGAAGTGAATGAGTGCCAACAATGGAGGCCCGTGTTCGTGCACAGGCTTTACGTTTTAGTGCACATGTGAGGATGTATCCAGCCTTCCTCTTTGTTTGTGCGTTTAGTGAAACAGAAAGTTCACGAGAGTGCACTAATGACACGAGCTAGCTTTGATTAAATGCTGCTTGCCAAACGAAACCGCGACACTAATGCAGCATCGGTGACACTCACACACACACACACACACACACACACACACACACACACACACACACACACACACACACACACACACACACACACACACACACACACACACACACAAAGGGGGTTTGCTCTGAGTGCTGTAAACAGCAGATGGAGCTGTAGTTAGTCACCAAATTCATTTCCAGGAGTTAATCTGAGAGGAGCTACCTAATTTTGAGCATGAGGATGTGTAATTAGAACCGAGTGCTTGAGCCACTGCCCATTAAAAACTGTGATTTCCATGTAATCTGTCTCTAATGAATATGTTGCATGCTCACACCTTGATGGTTATTTCAGTTAAAATAAATAAATCAAACATTGGTCCCTTTGGGTTCTAGCTTTCAATTTTGTTTTTAAATAACTTCTAAAAAAATCACATGTGTAGTTATTTTAACTTCCTGGTGGATTTGCATAGAGTCTATTTATACTGTATTGTATTAGGCCCATTTTTTTGCAAGAGGAAATGGGAGCTTTTGCATATATTCCTCATTGTGTTGCTACGTGTTTGTAATTAATTACAGGAAAACAAAATGTACATGCAAAACACGACCTGCAGCAGATGTTAGTAATGGTTGTGTGTGCTTCAGGGGTGAATTTATTCACGGAGAGTGAAATGCATCAGGAAAATAATGAAAGTATTTGTGCTTTTGTTTATGTTCACCGCATGTTGTGAAAACGTAAAGAACCATCAGCTCATGTTGGAGCGAACAAACATTAGTTTTCTGTTTTTTTTTTTTTTTGTTGACTGTGTGTGCCAAAACAACAGAGAAAGGAGGTGAGAGGGAGGATGATGGGAGCTGGGGGGAGGGGGGTGAGAGGCTGTATGGTGGATAGGTTAGGGGCGTGAATTTGGGGACAAAGCATGGAGGCAAAGGAAATTAGAAAATTCGTCGGGATGGAACGAGGGATGCGATTACCCCCTCAGCCTCCCCCCTCCCCCATTTTCCTCCAGCAGTGCTCCTGCCAGATGGAGGTTAGGGTGGGTGGGTGGGTGAGTGGCTTGATGGGCTGAGAGGATTAAAACTACGCAGCCCCATTTAGGAGCCTGAAGACTGCGTCGTCACGGCAAAGGTGGGGTGCAGAGGAGCACTTGTGGCGAGAGTGGCGGGGCATGTGAGGTGGGCGTGCGCTGGGTAACGTCAGAGGAGGAAAAGATGCTTCCCCTCCGTGGTGTCCCCTCCCTCCCACTTTCTGGGCTTTCATTAATCCTCAAAGGAGGGGGTGCGCTGGGGGGGGGGGGGGGGGGGGCATCCCAGTAACCTTAATAGAGCTCTCTAATTAATCAGCTCATCTGCAGAGGCCCAATACCTGCAGCTGACCCCCCCCTCCCGCCGCCTCACCCCACACAACATCCTCACACCGGCGCTGTGACATTGTGGTAATGAACGAACACGGCTACAATGTCATGGAAATGTTGCAGAGACGTTATCTGTGGGTGCTTAGCGCACATGCTGATGTTCCTGATCCCCTTCAGTGTTTACAGTGTGTGTGTGTGTGTGTGTGGCAACTTCCCACCTCACAAATAATAATAAATAATAAAAAAAACACACAACCCCATGATCCATGACACCCCAGGATGCCTCTGAAGAACAACACGTAGGGAGGGGCCGAGTTCACGTCAAGTGAACGTTTCAAACAGATGGCGGTTTCAAAGCGGGCCTCATCAATCTTTGTTGACACTACCCGTTTTTTTAAAAACTACTCTTATTTAGGATATTTGCAATTATAATGTACACTGTAAGCTCATTTGAATATCTAATTAATTACTGAACACACTGGAGTAAATGCCTCTTTTATAAGTCCTTGTTAAAAGTGAGAAGTTCTCCACTATGCTTGGCTGGTGTGTTAATTTACAGTGATATCTAATCCCAAGTTACTTCACATAAAAGGCATTACCATACATATATTAATGGGGAGGTGGTTGTTTTCCAAGCAATTTTCTGCTAGAGTACATTTTTAATTTATTCATATTTAATTTATTGGTCTCTGCATAGCCGCTCAGTTAAAAACTAATCAGCACCATGTATGGCCTCTCTTAAAGCCGCGTCTCCCTTTGGCAGGCGCACCGGCAGCGTCTGCATTAGGATAAGCTCTCCTCTCCTGTGCACAGAGCTGGGTGAAATGCCCCACATTCAGTCAAGCAGGAGGATGCCACCTCCGAGGAGACTCTTCAGTTCCCACAAACAACCTTTTAATCAAAGGGTGGGTGGGGGGGGGGGGGGGGGGGGGGGGGGGGGGGGGTGAAAAATGTGCCCAGCCTTGAATGATCCAAAACACAGCAATTTCAGCGGATGGTGACTGTCGTTGGGGGCTGTCAGAATGCGGTTCACCGGGGACAATGCCTTTCCCCTTCTTTCTGCTCCTCCGTGCCCTCATAGTCATCTGCCCTTGAATTGGTTTTCATGGAGGTTTGGCAGCCGTTTAGCACGTTTGACCAGAGTTCTTATCACCTGACTCCACTCCAAATACCCACCGACCTGCTGACGCACCTTAAGGAGGGGATCTGCACGACGTAACACATGGAAACGGTTTCAATTAATTACCATTTTCCTTTGACAAAGCCGACAGGAGGTGGGTTCGTCGAGTGTGGACAACAGGAGCGTATCTCTGGAGTAATGTGCACCACGTTTAACAAGAAGCAGAAAGGTCATTTGACACATTTCTGCCAAAATGAATAAATTTATTTGAAGCACTTAATTCCAAAGTCGCCTCATTGGCGCGTGGCTTTGGCAGAGCCATGAGAGGTTGCATTACCACAAGTGGAGGCTCGGCTTCCTCCCAACAGCGAGTCAGTGACCACGGGTCCGCGGGAGATCCAATCACCTCCTCCTCCATCGTAGGAAAATCGCCTCCATCACCTCTCAGTGTAATTGCAACATTCATTAGAGATGAGTAAAAATGCAGGTCGCCATTAGACAAGCAATTTAAAAGCAGGCTTCTGGAGAACGAGAGACGCGAGGGGTCACAGTACCGGGTCACAGTCAAGCAAATAATGGGAACTGGTCCCAAGAGGCCCGGGAAAACCACAAAGCTCGTGGTCACGCACCGAAAAACAACTCTGTGAGGGGTCGAGAATTCAATCATCAGACAGGAAATAAGAGCCCCTTGTGGGCTTTCAGCATTGCAATAATTACAATTACAAAGAAATTGTAATTTGCTGTTAAAAACGTCCTTTTCCTGCTGTACTTAGACTCTGATATGATTCTGCACATAGTCACGTTTGTTTTAACCACAAAGCTTCCGTTTATGGTGCTGAGCTAGAAGTCTAACGTGCGTCGCCTTGCCTACTGTGTGCACGAAGACATCTATCACACAGAACCATTATTCTTTATTACAGGTGTGGAAAAATCTTTTTTAATGATTATTTCTGATTATAACGGGTCACTCTGAGTTTGACAGGGAAGGCGGTTGTTGGTTTTAGCGTCCAGGAAACAGCAGAGAACATCTCAACTAGTAGAAGCTAACTGTTAGCATTAGCAACTCCACCACACTGCAGAAGCTCCTCCAGGCTAGAATTGTTTGTGGAGATAAAACATCAACGTTGCAAAGCAAACAGAGTCAATGGTAGAGTCACATTGCTGTTAGCCAATCAGAGGTGAGATGTACAAATATCAGGAAATAAGATGTCAAATCCTGTCGTGGTCTGCCACCCTCTGCTGCAGCAGACTTCTCCATACTGAAACAGGTGCTGCTGGGCTTTTACCCCCCCAGTATGACTTGCAAGGCATTCATTCCTACCAGAGACCACTTCAAATGTATTGATTGAACCAGTGTCCCACACCTTTAATGCAGTAAAGTTCTCTGGGACTGACGTTGCTATCAACTGTCAGTTGAGGCCTTCAATTTACCTCCGAAGTTGGAACTCGGAACTGGGAATGATGTCACACCCAAGTTAACCACGTTCTGATTACCGCAGTCGGAGAAGTCAGGATTCCAACATGGCGACACACACCTCCCAAGTAGCCATTGTTTGTACATTACTCTTAATAACATACTTTTAAGCTGTACGTTCAACATGCAAATAAAACTTTTAGTATATTCAGCTTAGAGTTGCAAGCACTACATGCAACAATGATTTTAAACGTACTCTTACAAGTCTGTTTTGTACAATAAACACGTTTCACCCAGAAGTTTGTTGTTGAGACGGAGAGCTGCCATTTTGGATGTCAAGGTTGGAGTTCTGAAAATCTTCAGAGTTTCCGAACGGGACGTCTCTTTTTTTTTGGGGGGGGGGGGGGGGGGGGGGGGGCGCGTTTCATTAGATTTTTCCTACAAGGAAGTTGGGATTTCTGAGTTCTGAGGACAAAACGAACGCACCCTCACTCCAGCCAAAAGTCCTCCACCCCCATTTCCTCTTTTCTGCTGCTGCTCTTGTTTGTGTGTTCGCGTTTATCTGCAGGGAAACATTTCACTGTAAGCACAACTATAAATGCTAGTTTGATCAAAGGAAGCATTTTTTTAATATGTTTAGGTTTGAAAACTGAGTTCTTACTGCTGTTCTGATGGTTGTTTTTTTTTTTTTACTAAACTTTGCTCTAAACAAAGAAACCACAACAATAGCTCGTGTGCAGGCCGTGCTTCACCAACTGCAAACATGCCTGCAGTCAGTCAGGATTTAAGATTCTCTTTGAGAAATCCAACAACAAATCTAGTTATTTATTTCTCTGCGAAGAGCCGCTAATGACTGTGTTTTGCAGGAGAAAATGCTTCTGCATTAAATATGGATAAACACATCATGATGAAACAATTGGGCAACGGTGCTCAGCATGCAGTTGGTTTACATTTCTAGATGTCTAGAAAATGGCAATAACAAAAACAAAGCTGCTGTGTGCAGTGATTAGCCGTGCTGCTCTGTGGGAAAGAAAGTCATTTTAGGAGACAACCCTCACTGACAGAAGACTGAACCTTTGCGATTGATGAAATAAGATGATCAGCTAGTGGAAGGGGGTGCCCAGTGGTTCATGATAGGATGACACACGGCCTCGCAGTCAGGAACGAGCGTGCACCGTCTGGGCTGTACTTTCCTCTCAGCACTTTTACCACTCAGGAGGCAGATTGGAGTTCTCGCTCTCAGCTACTCCACATTATTGTCCATTATCACACCATGGTCCATGTGTAAGGTGACAGTGGTGCTCTGACGGAGGGGCGACAAGAGGTAGGGTGGGGGGTGCAGGCGGGGGGGGGGGGGGGGGGGGGCTAGACTGCAATAACACGTTATTAGCTTTTTTTTCTCCACATCTCCACTAGGCTGGATTTACACTGGATATCCAGAGACCTCTGAGGGCGGCCCGCTGTCATAGTGGTGTCCAGCAGCAATTGCACACACACACACACACACACACACACACACACACACACACACACACACACACACACACACACACACACACACACACACACACACACACACACACACACAGGCACACACACACACGCACACACGCACACACACGCACACACACACACACACCTGTAAACGTGTTCCTTGCCAATTAGCCTGTATGTGCGCTGTCATTCTGCTTTTTAGTTAAAGAGGTCATTCACTCACGTCTGAATACATCAGTGGCAGGGGCGTGTCCAGGGAGTGGCCTGGGGTAGCACATGCCACCCTTGGAATCTGATGGGCCACCCCAGGTGT